CTGCTGCTGCTGCTGCTGCTGCTGCTGCTGCTGCTGCTGCTGCTGCTGCTGCTGCTGCTGCTGCTGCTGCTGCTGCTGCGCTGCTGCTGCTGTTGTGCGGCTGCGCGTGCTGCTGCCGCTGCGGCGCTGCTGCAGCAGAGACGGCGCAACAAATAACAATCAAACTAACACTCAATAAATAAATAAATAAAATAAATAGATAAATAAATAAATAATTAATTAATTAATTAATTATTTATTAATTAATTAATTGTTTGGCTGCTGCCAGGTGCTGCAAGTGCTGCCCCACCCCGCAGCCGCCGGACTGTCTTTGGTGCAGCTGGGCATTGACGTGCCAGCAGCAGAAGCAAAGCTGCTGGCAAAGCCCCCCACGCCAGCAGCAGCAGCAGCAGCAGCAGCAGCAGCAGCGGGGGAGCAGCAGGAGGGAGACCAGCAGCAGCAGCAGCAGCAGCAGCAGCAGCAGGCGCTGCCGTGGGGCCTGCTGCTGCCCAGTGGGGGCGGCGGCTCCGAGCCCATTACCTACGCCCTCTACTTGAGGGACCCAGAGAAGGAAGCAGCAGCAGCAGCAGCAGCAGCAGCAGCAGCAGCAGCAACTGCAGCAGCAGCATCCAAGGAGCCGCCTCCAGCAGAGGTGGCCTACGACTTCAGGCGAGACTATTTGTGGCAGGTAACAGCAGCAGCTGCAGCAAAAGTAGCAGCAGCAGCAGCGACAACAACAAAAACAATAGCAGCAGCAGCAGCAGCAATAGTAGCTGCAGCAGCAGCAGCAGCAGCAGCAGCAATAGTAGCTGCAGCAGCAGCGCCGACAACAGCAATATTGGCGCCTGGCGCATTTACTGTGTGCACCCATATGCTGTCGCTGCTGCTGCCGCTGCTGCTGCTGCCGCTGCTGCTGCTGCCGCTGCTGCTGCTGCTGCTGCCGCTGCTGCTGCTGCCGCTGCTGCCGCTGCTGCCGCTGCTGCTGCTGCCGCTGCTGCTGCTGCTGCTGCTGCTGCTGCTGCTGCAGGCCCCTTCTTCAGGGTCCAGCGGAGCCTCTGAAAGGGCCGTGCTGCTGCTGGTCCCCCCCGAAGGTGCTGCTGATGTTTGTTTGCTGCTGCCACTTGTGGGGCCCCGGCGGGTGCTGCTGAAGGCCGGCAGCAGCAGCAAAAGAGCTGGAGTTTTGGCCAGCAGCAAGCAGCAAGAAGCAGCAGCTCAAGAAGGAGCAGCAGCAACAGACGAGGACGATGCAGGTCAATACCCCGCTGCTGCTGCTGTTGCTGCTGCTGCTGCTGCTGCGCTTGCGGCTGCTGCTGCTGCTGCGCTTCTTGCTGCTGCGCTTGCTGCTGCTGCGCTTGCTGCTGCTGCGGCGCTTGCTGGTGCTGCTGCTGCGCCCGCAGCGCCCTCGCTGCTGCTGCTGCGCCTGCTGCTGCTGCTACTGCGCCCGCTGCTGCCGCTGCTGCGCTGGCGGTTTCGGGGCGAGGATGAAGCTTGCTGCTGCTGCTGCTGCTGCTGCTGCTGCAGAAGGGGGTGCCGAGAAGCCTCCTAGTGCTGCTGCTGAGGCGCCAGAAGCAGCTGCTGCTGCAGCAAAAGAAAACAAAGCCGAGCTGTTCAGCGACGGGGGAGAAGGCGAGGCCTCAGGAGCAACGGGGAGCAGCAGCAGCAGCAGCAGCAGCAGCAGCAGCAGCGAAGATGAGGCCTCCTCCAACTCATCCTAGGGGGCCCCCGAACCCACCGGTGCAGCAGCAGCACTCAGGGGGCCCCTCGGGGGCCCCCCTTTAACAAAAAGGGGCCTCCAGGGGCCCCTTTGGGGGCCCCCTTCAAGCAAAAGGGGGCCCCCATCGAACTACCCTTGAGGGGGCCCCCCTGGGCCCCCTGAAGGGTACTTCGAGGGGGGCCCCCCATTCTTGAGGGGCCCCTCTTGGGGGCCCCCTTTAAGTGAAAGGGGGCCCCCCTTTATTACCTTTTACAGACCCAACTTTCTCTTCTATTTGACGCCATAGACTACTGGGGGGCCCCCCTGCCCTTGGGGGGCCCCCTGCCCTTTTTGGGGGCCCCCAGGGTCAGGGGGCCCCCCCGCTGCTGTGGGGGGGGGCCCCCGGGGGCCCCTGGCTGTGGGGGCCCCCCTGGCTTGGGGGGCCCCCCTGGGGGCCCCCCGGGGGCCTCCCTGGCTTGGGGGCCCCCCTGGGGGCCCCCCGGGGGCCCCTTGGGCTTGGGGGGCCCCCTGGGGGCCCTCTGGCTTTGGGGGGCCCCCAAGTTGGTGGGCGAAGGCTTATGAAGGCAATGAGGGATAGGCAGAATTATATAAAGTGGAAAGAAGATTAATAAATAGTTTTTGAATAAATAAATATAAATTAATAAATAGTTTTTGAATAAATAAATAAAAATTGGGGAATTAATAAATGCAAAATGAATATAAATTAAAAGTTTAAGAGCGATGCCTTGCTGCTGCAGAAGCAGAGGAAGCGCGCTCTCGCAGCAGCAGCAGCAGCAGCAGCAGCAGCAGCAACTGCAGCAAACGAAGGCGTCGGCAGCTGCTGCTGCTGCTGTCGCTGCTGCTGCTGCATGCAGCGGAAGTGCTGTCATTTACACTAAAAAGGGTTAGCTGCTGCTGCCCTTACTGCTGCTGCTGCCGCTGCTGCTGCTGCTGCAGCAGCAGCTGGTTTTGCTCAAACAGCATCATAAGCTGCTGCCTGTACACTGCTAGCTTCTGCTGCAGAAGCTCCGTGCTGCAGCTTTGGGGGTCTTGCTGCTGCTGCGGGGTACTAGCAGCAGCAGCAGCAGCAGCAGCAGCAGCAGCAGCAGCAACAGGAGGCTCAAAGCTCCTCTTGAAGTGAAGACGCAGGTATTGGTTGTCTTGCTGCAGCTGCTGCACTTGCTGCTGCAGAGCAGCAGCAGCAGCAGCAGCAGCGGCGCTTTTCCGCTGCTCCAGCTGCTGCTGAAGCTCCAGGTCAGCAATCCTCTCTTTGAGGAGAAGTATCTGGGCTTGCTGCTGCTGCTGCTGCTGCTGCTGCTGCTGAGGAGATGCTTCGCTCGAGCACAGCAATGTTGTGTGCGTCTCTTCCAGCTGCTGCTGCTGCTGCTGCTGCTGCTGCTGCTGCAGCAGCAGAAGCACACCTGTGGAAGAGTCCGTGTGAGGTGTTGAGCTGCTGCTGCTGCAAGTCAATCCATTTGCTGCTGCTGTTGCACTGCTGCACACAGAAAGGTCGCCGCCAGTGTCCCATGAGCCCTGCTGCTGCTGCTGCTGCTGCTGCTGCTGCTCTCCTGCAGCAGCAGCAGCAGCAGCAGCAGCAGGAGGGCTAGCAGCACCCCATCCCAAACTCTGTAAATCCTTTGAGAGACTTTCAGCCAAGTGCTCTGGAGGCAGAGGCAAAGTCAAAACACTGCCGTGCTGCTGCTGCTCTTGCTGCTGCTGCTGCTGCTGCTGCTGCTGCTGCTTCGCTGCTGCCTCGCTCTCTTTTGCTGCTGCTGCCGCCGTAGCAGCAGCGGCAACAGCAGCAATTGCTGAGGCAGCAGAATTTGTGGCTCCCGCTCTTTCAGAGGGGCTGCTCGGTTGCGCCTGCTGCAGTAGCTGCTGCTGCTGCTGCTGCTGCTGCTGCTGCAGCTGCTGCAGCAGCTGCTGCTGCACTCTGCGGGCGAGCTCAGCGTCTTCTGCTGGCAGCAAATTCAGCTTCAGCCGGTAGTGAAAATTCTGCAGCAAAGAGTTGCCCAGAGAGAAGCTGTTTGGCGCATGCATCTTCTCCACGTGCTGCTGCTGCTGCTGCTGCTGCTGCTGCTGCTGCTGCTGCTGCTTGCTTTTGTTGCTGCTGCTGCTTGCTTTTGTTGCTGCTGCTGCTCGCTTTTGTTGCTGCTGCCGCTACTGCTGGTGCTGCTGTGCCCTGCCTACGCTGATGCTGCCGTGGACGCTGCTGCTGGTGTTGCTGCTGCTGTTGCTGCTGCTGCTGCTGGTGTCGCTGCTGCTGCTGCTGCTGCCGCTGTGTCTTCCGCCGCTGCTGTTGTGAGTGTTGTTGCAGTTGCTACAGCAGCAGCAGCAACGGCCTCACCAGCAGCAGCTGCAACAGCAGCAGCTGCTGCTGCTGCCGCTGCTGCTGCTGCTGCCGTTGGAGCTCTTGTGTTGCGGCTGCTGCTGCTGACCTAAGCACGTTCGCCTCCGCGTCAGCTGCTGCAGCCGACTGTTGGCGCTGCTGCAGCTGCTCCGTCCCTGGCTGCTGCTGCTGCTGCTGCTGCTGCTGCTGCGAATCCCACTAGAGCCGCATGCGTGTCCGCTGCTTCATGTAGCATAAAAACAACTCAAATTCGACGCGTTGCTGCGTCAGCAGCAGCAGCAGCAGCAGCAGCAGCCGGAGCAGCAGCTGCACCAGCAGCAGTCCCGCTCCTGGGGCCCCAGCGGTCACGGAGGTCTTTCTCTGAAGCTATTTCAAAAAGAAGTGTCTGTTTAATTGTTTTAAATCGAAGCAAAACAAATACAAAAGACATTAGAACCCTCCTTAGGATCAGCGAGGTTGCTGCTGCAGCACAGCTGCAGCACAAGAGCAGCAGCAGCAGCAGCAGCTCCCCACTGCTTGCTGTCTTTTTCCCTCTCCCCTGCTGCCTGGCTTATGGATTTTCTTCTATTTAGTGTTTTATTTGAGTTGTGGGGAGGGGGGGGCCCTAGCCAGCAGCAGGAGCAGCAGCAGGAATGGCGCCACTGGCAGCAGCAGCAGCAGCAGCATCTATGCCACTAGCTGCAGCAGCTCGAGCGTTAGGAGCAGCAAGGGGCGGAGCACGCACTCAATTGAAGAAACTGCTGCAGTAGTAGCAGCAGCAGCAGCAGCAGCAGCAGCAATAGCCAATACGTCCCGCAGCGAGTTGCTTCCATGCACAACTGAGCTGAAGCAGCAGCAGCTGCTGCAGCAGCAGCTGCTGCAACACAATCCACAGCAGCAGCAGCGGGCACGCAACAGCAGCTACAGCTGCAGCTGCTGTGGCAGCTGCAGCAGCTTATGGGTATCAGTTGTTGCTACTGCAGCGGCAGGAGAAGCAGCAGCGGCCGCAGCTCCGTGCAGCAGCAGCAGCAGCAGCAGCAGAACCCCTGCTGGTAGCAGCAGCAGCATCAGCAGGAGCAGCACATCTTGACAATGAAGGAGCCAGCTGCTGTAGTGCCGGTAAGGCAACGGCCCGCTACAGCAGCAGCAGCAGCAGCAGCAGCAGCAGCAGCAGCAGCAGCAGCAGCAGCAGCACCTTTTCGGTTTAAATGTGCTGATATTTCGCTTGAGATTTATTCGAATTTGCTCACCAAAAATTTTAACTTCAATTACTTGCAATCTTGGAGTCTGCACTGCTGCTCTGCCGCTGCTGCTGCTGCTGCTGCTGCTGCTGCTGCTGCTGCTGCTGCTGCTGCTGCTGCTGCTGCTTGCTTCTTGTGCGCAGTCGCCTTCTCCGCGGACGCGTTTGTCTGCTGCCTCTCCGGGCGCTGCAGCAGCAGAGTCGGAAGTGGAGGCCGTGGTGCGGGTGCGGCCCACGGCCAGCGGCTTTTTGGCGCTGCTGAGATGGAGAGGCAGCAAAAAGAAAGAAAGCACTTGGGAGAGAGTCGACAGCCTCCAGAGCCCCTGCCTCAGGTCAGCTAGCTAGCTAGCTAGCTAGCTGGGTGGCTGGCTGGCTAGCTGGGTGGCTAGCTGGGTGACTGGCTAGCTAGCTGGCTAGCTAGCTGGCTGGCTGGGTGGCTGGGTAGCTACGTGGCTAGCCAGCTAGCTAGCTAAGTGACTGGCTGGCTAGCTAGGTGGCTAGCTGGCTAGCTAGGTGACTAGCTAGCTGTCTGGATGGCTAGCCAGCTGGCTGGCGAGCTAGATTGCTGGCTGGCTAGTTTGCTGTCTAGCTAGTTGGCTAGATGACTGGCTAGCTAGGTGTGTAGCTAGCTAGCTAGCTAGCTAGCCAGCTAGCTAGCTAGCTCTTTTAGGTAGCTGCCTGGTACCTATAAGGCCTCAGATTGCATTTTAGCTGTTTAGCTAGCTGGCTAGCTACCCATTCAGCCGTTTTGCTGTTCAGCTAGCTCGCTAGGCGTCTAGCTATTTAGCTAGCTAGCCAGCTAGCTAGCTAGCTGACCCAGCTGGCTAGTTGGCTAGCTAGCTAACTAGCTAGCTGAGTCAGCTAGTTAGCTAGCTAGCTGGGAGGGCATTTACCTGCGTAGCCTGCTATTATTTATTACTTGAAGCTTCAGCGGCTTTAAAAGTGTCAGTGTACCATTTAATACCAATAAATGCCATTAATGGCATTAATGCCATTAATGCCATTAATGGCATTAACACCAATAAATGCCATTAATGGCATTAATGCCATTAATGGCATTAATGCCATTAATGCCATTAATGCCATTAATGCCATTAATGTAAATGGCATTTAAGTGGCATTTAAGTGGCATTTAAGTGGTATTTAAATGGCACTTAAATGCCATTTAAAAGGCACTTAAATGCCCTTTAAATGCCATTTAAATGCCCTTTAAATGCCATTTAAATGCCACTTAAATGCCCTTTAAATGCCCTTTAAATGCCATTTAAATGCCATTTAAATGCCACTTAAATGCCACTTAAATGCCACTTAAATGCCCTTTAAATGCCATTTAAATGCCCTTTAAATGCCATTTAAATGCCACTTAAATGCCACTTAAATGCCATTTAAATGCCATTTAAATGCCACTTAAATGCCGTTTAAATGCCATTTAAATGCCATTTAAATGCCACTTAAATGCCGTTTAAATGCCATTTAAATGCCACTTAAACTCCACTTAAATGTCATTTAAATGCCACTAAAATGCCATTTAAATGCCATTTAAATGCCATTTAAATGCCATTTAATGCCACAAAATGTTTTGTTTTGAATTCCTTCAGAGCGCTGGCAGCTTCGAAAGTGGCTTTATATCGGCGGCGAAGTTTTTCGCTTCGTTTTATTCCCACGCGTTCGGCCCTTTGCCGCTTCGCCCCAGTTTTCCACTGGACCCGCAGCACGCAGCAGCAGCAGCAGCAGCAGCAGCAGCAGCAGCAGCAGCAGGAGCAGCAGCAGGAGCAGCAGGAGGAGCAGCAGGAGAGCAGGGGCTGTGCTAGCGCCGTGCAGGCGGTGGCTGCTGCTGCTGCTGCAGCGGCAGTTGCTGCTGCGCCGGAAGAGAGCAAAGCAGCAGCGGCTGCTGCTGCTGCTGCTGTTGCTGCTGAGATTCAGCAGCTGGAAGCAGCAATTGCTGCTGCTTGTCAGCAAAAAGATGCAGCAGAACTCCAAGACATCATCTACGCCCGCAAGGCCCTAGCGCCAGACTCCACAGCAGCAGCAGCAGCAACGACAACGGCAGCAAGCCCTCCAGAAGCAGCAGATTTTGCTTTTGCTGCTGCTGCTGCTGCTGCTGCTGCTGCTGCTGACAGACACCGCCCACTGCCTGTGCGTGCGGCGGCGGAGACAGGAGGCTCAAGGACGAGGCGCGGGCGAAACGCCAGCAGCAGCAGCAGCAACAGCAGCAGCAGCAGCAGCAGCAACAGCAGCAGCAGCAGCAGCAGCAGCAGCAGCAGCAGCAATAGTAGTCCTGCCAGTAGCAACTGCAGCCCTAACAACGGGAGCAGCAGCGGCTCCAGCAGCAAGTCAACAAAGTACGTTTCTGGGTGGTGCAGCCCTGCTGCTGCACCCCCGGCAGCAGCAGCAGCAACAGCAGCAGCAGCAACTGCAGCAGCAACAGCAGCAGCAACAGACTGTAGCCAGCTCCTGCGGCCCTCAGACTGGAAGTCTTTGTTGGAAACAAGAAATGCCGGTGGCTGCTCACCTCGCAGCAGCAACATGATCAGCAGCAGCAGCAACAGCAGCAGCAGCAGCAACCGCCACAGCAGCAGCAACAGCAAACTCGTAGCAGCGCCTGTGTGTCTGGTTAAGAGGGAGCAGACGAGTTGCAGCGGAGACCTGGAGGAAATTAGAAAAGAAGAAGCAGAAAACGAGGAAGGCGGTGACACAGAAGCTGCTGCTGCTGCTGCTGCTGCTGCTGCTGCTGCTGCTGCTGCAGGAGACAGAGGCGCCGCCGAGAGCCGCAGCCGCAGCAGCAGCAGCAGCGTCAACAGAGGCAGCAGAAGCTCGCCCACAGCTGCCGCAGCAGCCATCTGTACCCGCAGCGGCACAGCAGCAGCAGCAGCAGCAGCAGCAGCAGCAGCAAGGCCTCAGAGCCAGATGATCCGCAAAAGGGCGTCGAGTCGCCCGAAGGGATTAGCAGCAGCAGCAACACCTGCAGCAGCTTCTGCAGGGGAAGCAGCAGCAGCTGCTGCAGCGAAATCAGCAGCAATGCCGGCACCCGAAGCAGCAGTAGAGGCAACGGCACCTGCAGCAGCAGCAGCAGCAGCAGCAGCAGCAGCAGCAGCAGCAGAGCCAAAAGACGCGCTGTACTTCGCCAAGGAGTTCCAGAGGGTCACAGAAATGTACGAGGAGCTTATGAAAAGCATCAGCGCGAGAGATCTCTGTTGCAGCGTAGAGCAGCAGCAGCAGCAGCAGCAGCAGCAGCAGCAGCATGCGACTCAAGAAGAGCAGCACCACCACCACCAGCAGCGGCATGGGTCCCAAGAAGAGCAGCAGCAGCAGCGGCAGCAGCAGCAGCATGGGGCGCAAGAAGAGCAACAGCAGCAGAAGCAGCAGCAGCTTGGGGCGCAAGAAGAGCAGCAGCTGCTGCGGCAGCAAAAGCCATTGAAGCAGCAGCAGCATGAGCAGCAAGAGCAGCAGAAACAGCAAGATCAGGAGCTGAGGGAGCAAAAGCGGCGCCGCCGCTGCAGCAGCCCGGAGCAGCAGCAGCAGCAATGGCAGGAGCAGCAGCAGCAGCAGCCGCAGCAGCAGCAGGTGCCAGACTCGCAGCAGGCAGCAGCGGTGGGTCTCCGAGAAAATTTGTGTCAGGTGCTTGGGAGGCCACAGCAGCGGCAGCAGCAGCAGCAGCAGCAGCAGCAGCAGCAGCAACTGCGGCAGCAGCAGCAGAGCGCAGAGTTGCACATGAGGGCCCGAGGAGAGGAGGAGCACCGCTGTGGGGATGCCGAAAGAGACTGGAGCCACAGGCAGCAGCAGCAGCAGCAGCAGCAGCAGCAGCAGCAGCAGCAGCAGCAAAAGCAGCAGCAGTGTGGATGGTCGCAGCAGTGGCAAGGAGAGCCAAGACGCCGTGATGCGGAGTCTGGGGAGAGGCAGCAGCAGCGGCAGCAGCAGCAGCAGCAGCAGCAGCAAAGAAGGAACAGACACGAAGACGGAAAGGGCGACAGAGAGAAGCCTCCTTACGGTGAGCAGCGCAGCAGCAGCTTTAGAGGCAGCAGCACCTGGTGCCGGTGCAGCAGCAGAAGCAGCAGCAGCAGCAGCAGAAGCAGCAGCAGCAGCAGCAGGTCGAGCAGACGCAACAGAAAAGCTAGGGTGTATCGACAGCAGCGCCGTTCAGTTTCCCCAGAAGAAAGGCGCAGGGCGAAGCCCCGGGACTATGGTTGCTGTCGGCAGCAGCAGCAGCAGCAGCAGCAGCAGCAGCAGCAGCAGCACAGAGAGCAGCAGCAGCAGCGAGAGCAGCAGCAGGCGACAAGAGACAGAGTGGCGCCAGAAGAAGGCCCTGTGTGGTATAAAAGGTCTGAAGGCTTCGGCCCTCAGCGTCAGCAACGCGGACTTTACCCCCAGCAGCAGCAGCAGCAGCAGCAGCAGCAGCAACGGCAGCAGCAACAGCAGCAGCAACGGCAGCAGCAGGAAAGCACGTTGGAAAAGGAAGTTGCGGACGCAACGGGTACAGCACCAAAGGAGATTTACGCGCGAGAGGAGCAGCTGCAGCAGCAGCGGCAGCAGCAGCGGCAGCAGCAGCAGCAGCTGGAACAGCGGCTGCAGCAGCAGCAGCTGGAACAGCGGCTGCAGCAGCAGCAGCTGGAACAGCGGCTGCAGCGACAACAAGAAAAGCAGCAGCACAGGATGGCAGGAGGGGGCAGTCGTCAGGAGCAGCAGCAGCAACAGACGCAGTGGCTGCAGCAGTGGCCCGGTCAGAAAGATAGTCAGCAGCATAGTTTGCAGCAGCAGCAGCAGCAGCTGCAGCAGCAGCAGCAGCACTTGGAGTACGATGAAGTGCAAGAGCATCAGCAGCAGCAGTACCCTCAGCAGCTGGAGCAGCACCGGCACCACCCACACAAGCAGCAGCAGCAGCGGCACCACGCCTCTCACCCTTACCATCAGCAGCAGCAGCAACAGCAGCAGCAGCAACAGCAGCAGCAGCAACAGCAGCAGCAGCAGCAGCAGCAGCCGAAAATTGACAAGCAGTGGCGAGATGCGCTTTGGGAAATGTTCGACGCAGAACAGCGCCGCAGGAGGCTGCTGTTCAGACACCGTAGGGCTCCCGGACCCGCAGCCACCCCACACCCCTGCAGCAGCAGCAGACGCAGCAGCAGCAGCAGATGCAGCAGCAGCAGCAGTAGCACGTGCAGCAGCAGAAGGGCCTGGCGGAGGAGCCGCAGCAGGAGCTCGAGTCGCGGCAACAGGCACCCGCCGCCCGTCAAACAGCGCAGCGCTTGGTCTCTGCTGCAGCAGCAGGAGGGAGGAGCAGCAGCAGCAGCAGCAGCAGCAGCAGCAGCCACGCAGCTCATCCCAGCAGCCTCACCGCCTTCTTTGGGGGCCCCCAGGGGGGCCTCTGGGGAACCAGAGGGGCCTCCAAGGGGCCCCCAGGGGGCCCCTGGGGGCCCCCAGGGGCCCCCTGGGGGCTCTTGGGGGCCCAGAGCGCATGCAGATGGACCTGCTGCTGCTGCTGCCTGGGGCCCCACAGGGGGCCCTTCATTGCTGCCTGCTGCTGCTGCTGACCAACTTTTGGGTGCAGAAGAGCCAGTGCCCCAGCAGCAGCAGCAGCAGCAGCAGCAGCAGCAGCAGCAGCAAGGGGAACAGGAGGAGCTCGTCCAGCCGCAGCAGAGACGGAAGATTCAGCTAAAGCCCCGCCAGCGAGACGAGCAGCAGCTGCTGCTGCAGTGTCGAAAGATAGAGCAGCAGCAGCAACAGCAGCAGCAGACTCCAGAAGCACACGACGACGGCTTTTTGGAAGGGCAGCAGCAGCGAACGGTGCAGCTGCAGCAGCAGCGCCGGACGGTTCAGTTGCAGCAGCGGCACGAGCAGCAGCACGAGCAGCAGCACGAGCAGCAGCACGAGCAGCAGCAGAAGCAGCAGCCGGCGCTGCAGCACCACTGGCAGGAAGAGGGCTGGGGCAGCAGCTGCCAGCGGTGGCGCAGCCTTGGGGGCGGGCAGCAGCAGCAGCAGCAGCAGCAGCAGCAGCACGGCGAGGTGCAGCAGCAGCAGATGGGACGGCGCTGCATTTTAAAGGATTCCCCTTTTGTGAGGTCTTTGCCTGTCCTACGAGCAGCACGAGCCTTGGAGTGCTGCCGCAGCGCTGCAGCAGCAGCAACAGCAGCAAGAGGAAAGCAGCAGCAGCAGCAGCAGCTCGTAGCGCCTGGCCGCAGCAGCCGCTGCTTGGAGCTGCACCCTGTGCGGCGGCAGCAGCACTGTGTGCCTGCAGCAGCCTTGGGAAGGCGGTACCCAGGGTCTTGATTTTTGCCAGCAGCAGCAGCAGCAGCAGCAGCAGCAGCAGCAGCAGCACTACAGCAGCGCTGTATAGGAAGAGCAGCAGCACGTGCAGCAGCCTGCCTCAGGAGTATTTGCTGCGAGCAGCTGCTGCGGCTGCAGAGCGCTCTGCTGCAGTGCGTTCCAGCAGGAGGCTGCGCGTCTCTGCTGTTGCTGCATCACTGTGCTGCTGCTGCTGCTGCTGCTGCTGCTGCAGTTAGAGGGAGTATCTGCTACGCGTAGAGCTAATAAAGGAAAGCAGAGCAGCAGCACAGCCCTGCGAGGCTGCAGCATGCTGCTGCTGCTGCGGGTAGCTCCCTGAGGCCCCAGTCAGAGCAGCAGCAAGAGTTGCTGCTGGCCCTGGGGGCGCTTGCTGCAGTGCAGGTAGGCGCTGCTGCTGCAGTGCAGGTAGGCGCTGCTGCTGCAAGTGACTAATAGTAGATTCTCAGGAGTGAAGAGCTGCAGCTGGCTCCTGCTGCTGCAGCTGGCTCCTGCTGCTGCAGCTGGCTCCTGCTGCTGCAGCTGGCTCCTGCTGCTGCCGCTGCAGGCAGCCCTAGTCTGCCGTGGGGCTGCGTGTAAGAGCTGCGCAGCGGTATAGCAGCAGCAGCAGCAGCAGCCGCTGCGGCTGCAGCAGCAAGTGCTGCGTCCCCTGCTGCAGAGGCTTTAGATTTTGCTGCTGCAGCTGCAGCGCGAGAGCTAGGGGGCGGGCGAGTCGCCGGCCCGCCGCAGAAGACCACCTGAATTGCCCAGAAGCTGCAAAGACTGCAGCAGAGCTCTCTCTGGCTCTGTCTCGGGGCTTTTCAGGAGTTTTCTGGCTCTCAGTAAAGCCAGCAGCAGCTCCTAAGCTCCCCTGTGGCTAGGGGAGCAGCAGTTGGGCCTCTCTAGGGGCTGGGGCTGGACTTAGTGCAGAAAGAGGACCCTCGGGGGGCCCCCAGAACTGGCCAGGGGGCCCTGGGGGCCCCGAGAGCCCAGGGGCTGCAGCAGCTGCTTGTGATGCAAGTGGGTCGTTAACTAACGACTGCCTCAAGGCGCAGAGGCCGGGGCGGGGAGAAGCAGCTGCTCTGAAGCAGTTTTAAGAATTTGAATTTCAAAGTGAGGGGTCTTTCTTTCTTCCTCTTGGCTAGCTGACGGGGCTTCCGGCGCTTTCGGGGTGATACAGAGGAAGGGAATGAGGAGAGTAGAAGACCTTGCTTTCCTCATTTCCCATTTTCTGCAGCAAAAGGATCTGGGGGCCCCCCATGTACTTCTTCGCAGTGTGTCAGCTGGGGGCGCCCCTAGGTGACCCCACGGGGTCATGGGGCTGGCGGGGGGAGGGGGGCAGCACCCCATGAGATTTGCTTGCCTTTGAAGATTCTATTTTTTCTTTTCCTGGCTGGAAGGATTTCAGGCGCTGAGTAGGATTCCTTTGGGGGGGCCCCCGAGAGGCCCTGGGCTGGCTGGGGTGGGGAGAGGCCCCTGGAGGAAATAGAGCTTCTGCCAGAACTGTGGACTTCTGGGCAGCACAGATGCTCTATCTTCAATTACCTGGCGGGCCGAAGGCCTCTGCAGCAGCAGGAAGCTGCAGCGAGAGCAGTGGGGCAGAGGGGGCGTCAGGGGGACGCAGGGGAGTCTGCTGGCCTTAAGTCTGGAGTGGCCCTCTCTTGAGCTACCTCAACAATATCTGCCGGTGCAGCAAAAAGGGTGGAGTCAAGAGCCTGCGTTTAGCCTGGAGAGCTGGGCTATGACGCGGCCATTAGCCCGAAGGGGCACTGGCAGCTAGTTCTAAAGATCTCGCCGATTAGCAAAGTGCGAGGAGCGGCGTAAATCCTTCTCTCAATCCCGCCCTATTTGCTTCTGTTCAACAACACAGATTCCCTTGGTTGATAAAACAGTTGCTTTTTGAGGAGAGCCTCTAGCAAGTGAGGCACGAGCTCACCCTGGGTAAGCGGGGTGAAAGCGGGTTCCCGCTCGTGAGCGCTCAAGTCATCGATCATCCTGATTTCTTGAGCTCAAGTCACCGATCATCCTGATTTCTGGCCCTTAACGAAGTGGCTCCCTTACGCAGCTGTGCGTTCCCTAGGAGGCTTCTGAGGCGGAGCTGTTGGGGAGGCTCTTGCAAGCTGCAGCACCGTAAGCCCCCAGTGGCCAGATTGGTAGGAGCTGCGGCTTCCTTGGCCCACACGCCTAGTGAAGCAGGTTCCCGGAGGGTGAGCTGCTGTACACTAACGTGCGTGCATGCACTTTGGTGGGTAAATGGGGATATCCATTAACTTCGAGTTCGCAAGGCTTGGGGATCTGCTTTGGTGCTGCGGGTGACCGAAGGACGGTAAGCTTTCTAGTGGGGTGAACGCCTTTCCTCCCAGTTACAGGGTTAGGAGCAATTTGAAAGATACTTTATAGCTCTAGAAAGTACGAATAGTTCCTTGAGTTAGAGCCAAGCCTGCGGCGGGAGAGCGGGTGTTTTCTCCGCCAGACCGGATTTGAGGGCTCATTTCCACCCAGGAGTTGCGCACGAGTAGGGCCTCCTGAAGCACTATCTTTATCCGTGGATTACTAGTTAGTTAGCAGCAAGGGGCCTAAAGGAATTTTGAGTACAACGGACGGGAAGCAGAAACGTAGTTTCTGCCACCGCGAACTCGTGGAGGTAGCTAGTGGTGTAGTGCACAGACACTACAATGGGGCTGGTTAGTGCTCTAGAGAGGATAGCTAGCCAGCGACCTACGAGGGGTCGCAAGACTAGAGGGAGACAGGG